ACAAGAAAAAAAAACCTGCAAGCTGATATCCCTGAAGAATATCAATGCAAAAATCCTCGATAAAATACCAGCAAATCAAATTCAACAGTACATCAGAAGGATTATATGCCATGACCAAGTGTGATTTAACCCTGGGATGCAAGGTGGCTCAACATATAAAAATCAATGTGATACTCCACTGTAACAGAATGAAAGACAAAAAACCACACGGTCATCTCAATAGATGCAGAAAGAGCATTTGACAAAATTCAACATACTTTCATGGTAAAAACTCTCAGCAAAATAGGTATAGAAGAAACTTATCTCAACACAATAAAGGTCATATATGAAAAATCCACAGCTAACATCATAATTGATGGGGGAAAACCAACAACTTTACTAAGATCCTGAACAAGACAAGGATGCCCATTCTTGCCACTGCTATTCAACATAGTATTAAAAATCCTAGCCAGAGTAATCAGGCAAGAAAAGGAAGAAGTAAAATTATCTCTGTCTGCATATGACATGACCATATACAAAGAAAACCCTAAAGACTACATGCACACACACATATAAAAAAAGAAACTGTTAGAACTAATAACAAATTCAGTAAAGTTGCAGAATACAAAAATCAACATAGAAAAATCAGTGGTATTTCTATAGATTAACTATCCAAAGGGAAAACTATCCAAAAGGGAAAACAATCCCTTTTACATTAGCAAAAAAATAAAATAAAATACTTAGAAATTAACTAAACCAAAGAGATGAAAGACTTATACACTGAAAATTACAAAACACTGATTAAGGAAATTTAAAAGGATGTAAATAAATGTAAAGAAATCCCATGTTTATGGATTGTAAGAATTACAATTGTTAAAATGTCCATACTACCCACAGTGATCTACAAATACAATGCAATCTCTATCAAAATTCCAATGGCATTTTTTACAGAATAGAAAAACAATCCTAAAAGTTATATGGAAACACAAAAGACCCTGAATAGCCAAAGCAATCTTGAGCAAGAACAAAGCTGGAGGCATCATACTTCCTGTCCTGACTTCAAATTATATCACAAAGTTATAATAATCAAAACAGTATGTCACTGGAATAAAAATAGACATATAGACCAATGGAACAGAACAGAGATCCCAGAAATAAATCCACACATATATGGTCAAGAAATCTTCAACAAAGGCACCAAGAATACACAATAGGGAAAAGATAGTCTCTTTAATAAATGATGTTAGAAAAACTGGATATCAACATGCAAAAGAATGAAAGTGGACCTTTACCTTACACTGTACATAAGAATACAAAATGGATTAAAGACTTAAATGCAAAACCTAAGATCATAAAACTCCTAGAAGAAAATATTGAGGAAAAACTCCTTGACATTGTTTTTGGCAGTGATTTCTTGGCTATGACACCAAAGGCACAAGCAACAAAAGCAAAAATAAACAAGTAGTACTAGGCCAAGCTAAAATTTTCTGCACAACAAAGAAAACCATCAACAAAATGAAAAGGCAACCTACAGAATGAGAGAAAATATCTGCAAACCATATCTGATGAAGGGTTAATATCCAAAACATATAAGAAATTCCTACAACTCAACAGCAAAACAAACAAACAAACAAATAAACAAAACAAAAACCTCTAATAAAAAATGGGCCAAGGACCTGAACAGACATTTTTCCAAGGAACACATACAACAAGTATATGAAAATGTGCTCGACATCTCTAATCATAAGGAAAATGCAAATCAAAACCACAAAGTAATATCACCTCGCACCTTTTGGGATGGCTATTATCAAACAGCCAAAAGATAACAAGTGCTATTGAAGATGTGGAGAAAAGAGAACCCTTATACAGTACACTGCTGGTGGGAATGTAAATTGGTACAGTCAATATGGAAAACAGTATGAAGGCTCCTCAAAAAATTAAAAATAGAACCACCATATGATCCAGGAATCCCAATTCTTGGTATATATCCAAAAGAATTGAAATCAGGATCACAAAGAGACATCTGCACTCCCATGTTCTCTGCAGCACTATTCACAATAGCAAAATATGGAAACAACCTAAGTGTCAGTCAATGGATAAAGAAAATGTGGTGCGTATATAGAATGGAATATTATTCAGCCTTAAAAAATAAGGAAACCTATCATTTGTGACAACATAGATGAACCTGAAAGGACATTATGCTAAGTGAAATAAGCCAGACACAGAAAGACAAGTACTTCATGATCACACTTACATGTGGAATCTGAAAGTCAAACTCACAAAAACAGAGTAGAAGGATGATTATCAGAAACTGGGGGTTACAGGAAAGGGGGTGATGTTGGTCAAAGTGTACAAACTCTGAGTTATCCAAGATGAATATGTTCTGGAGATCTAACGTACAGCATGGTCACAATAGTCAACAACACAGACTGTATGCTTGTAATTTGCTAAGAGGATAAATCTTAAATTAAATCTTTGCAACACACATATAAACACACATACACCTTAATATGTAGAGGTAATGGATATGTTAATTAGCTTGACTGTACTGGTCATTTCACAATGTATGCATATATCAAAAAAATCAGAACCATGCTGGAACAGGCAGGAGCCATGGAACCTCCAGCCAAGGTCAGTCCCCACTGCCTAGAGAAGACAGAGAGCCACCAGGCCCACACACCCCAAGTCAGCCATGCCAGAACAGGCAGGAACCACGGGACCCCCAGCCCAGGCCAGGGCCCACCTCCCAGAGAGGCCTGAGATCCACCGGGCCCACAAGCCCCAAGTCAGGCACACCAGAAAAGGCAGGCGCCGCAGGACCCCCAGCCTCGGCCACTCCCCGCCACCCAAAGAGGCCTGAGAGCCACCAGGCCCACATGCCCTGAGTCAGCCACGCCAGAACAGGTAGGCACTGCAGGATCCCCAGCTCAGGCCAGTTCCCGCTGCTCAGAATTGGCAGTCCCTTCAGGATCTAGGCCAGACATCAGCATGGAATGAGTGCATCGTGATACCCCCTGCCACGATGACTAAACACCAAAGGAAAGATACCAGAAATATGAAAAATCAACATTCATATGGAACAATAAAACACCCTGAATAGCAATCCTGAGCAAAAAAAAAAATAAAGCTGGAAGCATAACATTACCTGAATTCAAATCCATCTGATATTAGACAAAGGCAACAAAAATCTACATTGGGGAAAAGATTGCCTCTTCGACAAGTGGTGCTGGGAAAGCTGGAAATCCATATGCAGAAGAGTGAGACTAGATATGCATCTCTCACCATACACTAAAATCAACTCAAAATGGATTAAAGACCTAGGTATAAAACCTGAAACTGTAAAATGGCTAAGGGAAAATATAGGTGAAACACTTCAGCAGTTAGGTCAGGGCACAGGCTTTATAAACATGAGCCCAAAAGCACAAGCAGTGAAAGAAAAAATAAATAAATGGGAGTATATCAAACTAAAAAGTTTCTGCACAGCAACAGAAACAATCAACACAGTGAAAAGACAACCGACGGAGTAGGAGAAAATTTTTGCCAACTATGCCTCCAACAAGGGACCAATATCCAGAATATACATAGAACTCAAGCAATTATACAATAAAAAAATAAATGACCCAATTAAAAAATGGGCAAAGGAGGTGAATAGACATTTTTCAAATGAAGACATACAAATGGCCAACAGATACATGAAAAAATGCTCAACATCACTAATCATCAGGGAAATGCAAATTAAAACCACACTGAGATACCACCTCACCCCAGTTAGAGTGGCTATGATAAAAAAGACGGTGAATAGCAAATGCTGGCGAGGGTGTGGAGAGAAGGGAACACTCCTGCACTGTTGGTGGGACTGTAAGTTAGTACAACTACTTTGGAAAACAAT